TGTTGGTTGTTGTTGCTGTTGTTGTTATTGCTATCGTTGTTGTTGTTACTATAGCAAGAGTAGAATTAGTAGTAGCATCAATACAAGAAATTATTATTATTATTATTATTGTTGTTTAATTTGAAGTAATAGTAGTAGTGGTGGTGCTAGTTCGAGATGTTATTATTGTTGTTGTTGTAGTAAGAACAGTAGTAGTGGTACTAATGCTAAAAGTTATTATTATTATTATTTTTGTTGTTGTGATAATATAAGTAATGACAATAAGAACTGATAATAACTAACATTTAATAATAATTAGCATAAGCGAAATTATATTTATGTAAATTTGTTGATTGTAAAAATAAATGGTAAGGGATGATTATAGGGTATGCTAGTTTTAATCCATTCAGCTTATAGATTTATGACAAAAGATACGGGTAATTAAATGAAGGAAAGCTTTCATCCAGTTCTATCTATCTACTTATCTATATACCTGTCAACCTATCCATCCATTCATTAACAAGTCTCTTTTATTTATTTTAATACATATATCCATTACACCATTTCAGGTTAATTAGAAAAGAAAAAAATCATCTCTTGAAAATTTTCCACTTTCAGTTTTAATTCCTATTTGTAACAGCTTTTTCTTTTTTTTTTTGTTTTATCAGTGATACGAACCCTATCAGTTGTTTGTTTCGTGTAAAAAGTAACTAACCCGTTCTCACCTTTGACCCTTCCTTTTCTTACAATTAAATCACGTTGATGTTATTAAATTTTGGATTACTTTAACAAAATTAATTCAAACAATTTAGTGAACACATAAAGTTTGGGATAATAAAAAGTGAATGTTATTTGCTATCGTTAAATTAATGTAAAGAAATTGCGCAAATGAATTAGTAATTATATACTGAAGTATACGTTAATTTAAATTAATGAAGTGGTTTAAAGTAATAGGAAGAAATCGGAAATGAAGTTTAATGAAATTATCTATTTAAATTATGGATAATAAACAAATTGGAAACAGTATTTCAAATTAAATTTTATTTTGTTTTTTTCTTAAACTCAAAAAAACATAAATGTAATTTTGAATTTGATATTATTAGAAAGGATACAGTAATCATTAAGTATGTTCAATCTATGAAGGTAATTAACAAACAGATTAACTAATCGCTCAACAATTTTCTTCAACTTTTATTCATCATTCATTTCTTATCGTTCAATAATCACTTTGTTGAAAATGGTAAAGGTAAAATAATAATAATAATAATAATCACTTTAACTTATTGATGATAATAATTATGCATAAAATGTAAGGAAGAAAGTTAAAGGTGACATTTTAGTATGACCAAAATGTGGTCACCTATTATTATCATCTTCTTGCAACTTTTAACAATCTTCTTCTTTCTGATTTATCTAATAATTCTTTTCTTTACCTTTTTTTTCTTCTTTTTTTTCGTTCATTTTTTAAATAAGATTTATTATATCAATTCAAAGATAGACTATTGTAATATCAATCCAAAAAATGTTTTAAAAATTACAAATTAATGTAAATTATGCTTCATTATTATAATTATTTTCAGCTCAATTATATCAAAAAATATGAATACAAATATAGAAATTAATATTTTTTTTGATTAGTAATTGAGAAATTATAACAATGATATTAATTGTATTTGATATATTTAAGATGAAAATTTAAAATTCTTTCATTTTATAAATTTTAAAAAAGAAAAACGATGGTTAAGAAATTTTTAAAATGGATTATTCTCATAATGTTTTGTGTTTTTTCTTGTTTTAAAAAAAAAACATTTAAAATAAATAATATTATATCTGAAAGCTAATAAAAAAATTAACCTACTCTGACTAATTAATAGTTCAACAATAGAGATCTTGAAATGATAAAAAGTAAGTGGATGGTGTAGGTTGATTTTTGAAAAAAAAAAAAACCTGATTAGCAACTTATTAACAATTTAATAAAAACTATTGAAAAATTAATTACATGATGAATGTTTTGTGAAATTTTAGAATAAAATTATATCAATCAAAGATATTAATATTAGTTGTTGTTTAATTTTTTAATCAAGAATTTTAATATTTTGTTCCAAAATTACTTCAATAAATGAAAATGAGTTTCAAATATTTTTAAAATGTTAAAATTTTCAAAATTTTAGTTAAACTTTATTTTGAAATTATGAAAGAATTCATGAAAAATTTGTTTTTTTCTCTTGTTCTTTCTCATTTTTTTCTTTTTCAATCAAAATATTTCATAGTATTGGTTAGCATTCTATGAGCAATCAAAGGTCTAAAATAGAATAAGGCAATTAGCATGAAATTAATTACTGGTTGACATGAAATCAATTACTAGTTGATATGAAATCAGTTACTAGTTGAAGTGAAACCAATTATTAGTTGACATAAAATCAGCCACTAGTTATTGTAGATATACTATGCAAATATTGTCTTGAGAATGATTTAGATACAACTACGAACTGATAACTTTTATCATCCTATTGTTATCAAGAGCAACTTTTCAATAAATTTAAAATTTATCGCACAAAAAAATTACTTCCAAAAATTAAGCTAACAAAAAATGCAACTTATAATTGAAAACTTTTATCACAAATGATATAATGAGATAAAACCATTTCCCTCCTCTTTTTTCCTCTCAATCAATTTTATAACTGATAACTTTTATCACAAATCATATAATGAGATGGAACCATTCCTTTCTCTCTTTCCTCTCAATCAATTTTATAACTGATAACTTTTATCACAAATGATATAGTGAGATGAAATCAATTCTTT